AGCCAGGATGGTCTCGATCTCCTGACCTCGTGATCCACCCGTCTCGGCCTCCCAAAGTGCTGGGATTACAGGCTTGAGCCACCGTGCCCGGCCAGCCAGGGATTATTTTTAAGTGCAGAAAGCTAGAGCCCTTGGAGGGGAAGTGACTTGCCAAAGGCTATTGACAGGTAGAGCTCGGTTTATCACTTTCTAGGGCTAAACCTTGCTCTGAGGCAGGGATGAATCAATTCCAGGCCCCTTCCTTCCCTCAGGACCCTCAGCAGGCAGTACCCCGCAGTGGTCATCCTTCTGTCCCTGGGAGAGCAGGTCCTCTTCCCGGTGGGCCTGGGGACCGGTGCTATGAGGACACTGCTAGGGCTGAAGGTCCTGTAGAGCTGCACAGATGCCCCTCAGGCATGGGGCAAGGCCAGCCTGCCAGAAGTTTCCCCATGCCTAGCATCTCTGGGCTCCTGCAGCCATCCTAGCTGGAGATAACTTGCATGCCAGGGGGCTGCTGGGTATCTGTCTCTGCCCCAGGCTCACTCTTTTGCACCCTCCAGATAACCATCTCTTAGAGAAGGCTGAGTTGCTGGACAAGTTCTCAAAGAAGCTGCAGCCGGAGCCAAACAGTGTCACTCCCACCACCCACCAGGGCCCCTGGTGAGTGTATGTGTGTCTGTGGTCACAAAGAGCTGCCTGTGCTGGGTTCATTCTCTCCCTAGCGCCTCATCAGCCCCTGGCTGCTGCCCAGGGGTGGTGGGGGTGGTGGGGGAGGCAGGCCCTTGGCCTTCCCACAGGATAGCTGTTTAGAATCTCTTTCCCCTCCAACTTTCTTTGTCCATCTTTCTGCATTTGTCCCATCTCCTTCCCCTCCCACCCCTACACTTAACGTCTTTTCCCTTTCTCAGTCTTTTTCTATTTCCCTGTTCCTTGCCTGATGCCTAAAGAAAGGGTCTTGCTACCTATTCCAAAGAGGGAGTAAAGATGAGAACCAGGAATAGGTTGGGATTCAGAGTTGGGAGGTGCTTCTTTTTTTTTTTTTTCTTTTTTTTTTTTGAAACGGAGTCTGGCTCTGTCAGCCAGGCTGGAGTGCAGTGGCCTGATCTCAGCTCACTGCAACCTCCACCTCCTGGGTTCAACCAATTCTCCTGCCTCAGCCTCCTGGTGCATACACCACCACCCCTGGCTAATTTTTGTATTTTCAGTAAAGACGGGGTTTCACCATGTTGGCCAGGATGGTCTCCATCTCTTGACCTTGTGATCCGCCCACCTCGGCCTCCCAAAGTGCTGGGATTACAGCGTGAGCCACCGCACCCGGCTGGGAGGTGGCTCTTGAGAAGGGTCCTTGGCCAAGGCCTAGGGGAATCTTGGAGCAGAGGAGTCATGGACAGCTCATTTCTAGAGACTTGCCTTTTCCTTTACTGGCTTGCTAGCTTCCATCTTCCCAGGGGGAGGTTAATGGCTCTTGTTTTAGGCTTTTCATGTAGCATCCCTTGGGTGCCTTTGGGCACTTGGGTGAACTGGGGGACATTGAGCACCACTCTGATTGGTTGGCAGGGAGGAGTCAGGGCTTGACTCAGACCAAGTCCCATCACTGGCCACACTGAGGGTGAAGTGGCAGGAGGAGGAAGAGGGGCTCCGGCTGGTCTGTGGTGAGGTAAGTTGGGAAGGGGTCTGAAAATGGTGTAGAGAGATGTGGTCCAAGGGAGCCAGCCAGTGAGGGGTACACTTGTGTTTGCTGCATTCTCCAAGCCCAGTGCTGCAAGCATTGAGTGAGCCCTAGTGTGTGCCAGGCCCTGACCTGAAGCTGAGCAGGGGTCAGAGTGCCCCGGGCAGCCCACAATGAAGTGGGTCCAACAGCAGCTGGAGGGAGTTAGGTGTGCAAGGGCCTGGCAGCCCATTTCCCTTCCACATTGTTTAGCCTACTCTGCTCACTACTCCATGGCTAACCCCTCGCCCAGCCATCCCCAAGGCCTCGCGCCAGTTGATGCTCAATGTACATTTGCAGACTACAGGAGTAAGGTTCATTTAACTCATTGGCAGGGTGTGGAAGCTCCACCTGACACTACCGCCTTCCCTGTCCCCTTGCAACAGTATCTCTCGGCTTCTCTTGCACCATGCCCTCCTAGTTTCCCTCTCATTTTTGTGATTGTTGCCTCTGAACTTCCTTCACTGCCTCCTTTCCCTCCTCCCTATTCCCCTTCCTTTAAATATGGGTGTTCTTGGGGCTCACGGACTCCCATTTTCTCTGTTTGCCAACTCTCAGATCTGTCTCTAGCCCAGCCTTCTTTTCTGAGCTCCTGACTCTCTTGCTTAGCTGCTTTTTGGACATCACATCTAAAATCAGGCTTACCATCTCCCCCAGAATTTGGCCTATGCTGTTTTGGTCCACGCTGTTTTGAGAGTTGACTCCCTGCAGGCATTGGGCTAAACATTGTCTCAGTTAATCCTTCACAACTTTATGGTTGCAGAGGAGGAAACTGAGGCTTGGAGAGGTAGAGCCAGGATTTGAGCCCCTCTTACACAAATCACCTTCTGTTCTCTCCATTCATTCTCTCAACATCTATTGACAGTTGCTATATCCAAGGTACAGGGAATGCAGCAATAAACAAGAGCTGGCCCATGGGGGCTTCCAGTCCTCTGAAGGAGACTGTGATAGCCCAGTAAATACACATCCAGTCACAGCATGGCAAGTCACCTGCCCAACAGAAGTGTGGGCATAGGTACAGACTCATTTGAGAACCTTTCCCCAGAGCTGCTGTTGTAGGTCCAATTCAATATTTGTTTGAGAGGTGATTCTCAAACATCTGACCCCCTACACCACCCCCTGCCTCTGGGCTGTGAGCTCCCCAAGCCGTGGGATGTCTTGTTTTGCCTCCAAGGCAAACCTGTATCTTTAGGGCCTGTGTCCACAGTCCATTCCATACTAAGGACTATTTGTAGACTAAGCTATGAATGAGGTGGGCTGTCCTTCCTGTGACTGCCCCCCAGTGGTTCTCACACAGGCTGGAAACGCCCGGGCGCCTCTGACTCTTCCCAGCCCTGCATCCTGAGCTGGTCACAAGGTCATGTTGACTATCTCCAAATCCATCAATGTCTGTTTCTTGTACCATATCTGACATGGTACAAGTAACTTTCATCCTACCCTGGAACACTCCTTCAGCACTCCCTGTCCCTTCTCCATACAGCTTTCAGAGTGACATATTTTAATTAAAAAAAAGATCTCCATTAAACACAAGCAGTACACAAAACATGCTTGTAAACAACTCAAGAGAATAGAAGCCATAGAGTAAAAAGTAAAGGCCCGTCTTACTACCGCTCTCCATGGTTAGTGTGCTGTAGATCTTCCAAAGCTCCTAGCCTGGCTCCCCAGTTGAGCTCACCAGGCTCCTGTTGCATTTCCTGCCACTCTCATCTCTGAGCTCCCGGCTCCCTTTGCCTGGGATGCTTTCCCTGGCCCCCAGCATTCCTTCCCTGGACACACACCAGCCAGTACCCATTGGATGCGCCAGTGGATGGGGGCAGTGGGGAGGCTTTTTCTTTTCTTTTGTAAAAATTTCTCTAGTAATTCCACACATCACAAGCATTTATCATTATTATTACTTTAACTTTTTATTTTAAAATAATTATAGATTCACAGGAAGTTGCAAGGATAGTCCAGAAAGTTCCTGCGTCCCCTTCCCCCAGCATCTCCCACTGGCTACATCTTACATAACTATAGTACCCACAACCAGGAAACTGGGATTGGTGTTAAGTGTGTATATGTCCTTTATCATTTTATCACGTGTAGATTTGTGTGACCATCAAGATATGGCACTGTTTCACCACCACAAAGATCTCTTTCTTGCTACCCCTTTTTAGTCACATTCACCCCTCTCCCCTCAACCATCCCTTACCCCTGGCAACTACTAATCTGTTTTCCACCTCTACTACTTGAATTTTGAAAGGCATACAATAAAATATTGAATGGTATAACATAATAGTACAACATAAATGAAAGCAAGTAACAGGTGAGAAAGTGGAGGTGGTGATCAGATTACTCAGTGGTGAAAACAATTATGTTATAAATGGGGCCAACTATGAATAAAGGTGCCCCAACCCGCATGTGCAGATTCCCTCTGCGCAGACTCACTCACATAGGGCGTCATGTCAGTGCAGGTGGCAGCATCAACCTTGCTCCTCAGTCTGTCCTCCCCAGGCCCACGTGAGAACACAGGAACAGATTAGCAATAAGAGCCCCCAGCCTTGGCCTGGGCCAGAGGCGCCTCTGGCCCTCATGTTCTTTTGTCACACTGGTGGGAGCTGCCTTGCCTGGGGTCTGTCTCTCCCACCGACCCTGCTTGGCTCTGAGTTGAAGGCATGTCGAGTGAGGCGGGGGTGCAGAGGAAATGACCCTCACTGCCTCTCCTAGGCTGCCAGGGCTGTTCCCATATTGAGTCTGGGCCCTGGCTCCCCGAGTCCATGCCTGATTTTAGCCTTGTGTGCCTCTGCGCAGGGCTCCTCGCTGCTGAGACCTGTGCTTGGGCAGGCCTGGGTTGAGTGAAGCCAGGAAGGCCCCAGGGAGGGGTGGGGAACAGAACTCACATTCCTCTGACCAGCCTGGAGGGTGATGCAGTTAGGTGGCTTGGGCTCAAATCTCTTAGCTACGTGACTTTGGGCCAGACACTTGAACCTCTCTGTCGGTGTCCTCGTCTGTGAAGTGAGAGTGGCAGTACCAGCCTCCCGGTGTGGTGAGGATGGAAAGAGCATGTAGCCTGCTGGGAACATCATGGCACCCGAGGGCCGGATGGGCATTTAGCAGCCTCTGCGCTAGGAGTCCTCGAAGTGGTTCTGCATGGCGCTGGGAGCGGAGCGATGTCTTCTCACTCTTCAGGCGAGGCAGCGTAGCGGGTTGCTCTTGCCAGAGAGGTTCCTAGTAGGGTCGCAGAGAAAGGAAGCAGCACAGCGAGGACTGGGACCCAGGGCTGACTCCAGAGCCCGAGGGCCTTCCACTGCTCCACAAACAGCAGCGCGTCCCTCTGCAAGGTCCCAAACCTGTGTGGGGCTCGGCTTGTTTTTCAGGAAGGGGGCGGGCAGGGGAGCAGCCAACTGTCCCTTAGCGCCTTCGGCCCGGGAGGGACTAGAGGCCTGGAGGGGCCTCAGCGCCGCCGTGCTCACCTGTCCGCCCCTAGATGGCCTACCAGGTGGTGGAGAAGAGCGTGGCCCTGGGCGCCTTGGAGTCGGAGCTGCAGGAGCTGCAAAGCAGGTGAGGCGCAGGCG